TATTATTTTTAATATATATAAATGATCTACCTTACTACACAAGCACCTTGTGTGAAAAGTGTTATTTGCTGATGATACTTCTTCACTTTCTAAAGTTGACAGAGGCAGCAATTGATCGGATGATGTAAATAGTGCTCTTTTAAAAGTTTTGCAGTGGTTCACAGTAAATTACTATCTTTCGATGAATTCACATAAAACTAAATTTATAACATTTTCTGTACCAAATGCAAGGCAGGTTAATTTAACTTTAAATATGAACGAAGAAATAGTATTTTTTTAGATTCTCGATTGAAATGGTATACTCATATTAATTTATCTGTAGTAGACTTAGCTAAGCTGCGTATGCTGTAAAAAAACCCATTAAATTCACAAGTAACTATGTAACACATAACTAATTAATATATTTAGTTAATTGTATTGGTAGCGACATGATTTAATGTAAATCTTGCTACTTCTGTTAATGCTGTTAAGTTTTTGTGCCCATTCTTTTTATCAGCTTAAAGATGTCTTGAATGGTAGGAAAAATTATTGGACGTTTCAAAAGAGCTTTCTATAAGTCAATTTGAATAAAGTATAATTTCATTTCATTTATACTTTTTAACTAGGTAGGCACTACGTACCCCAATCTCATCTTAGGCGTTCTCATTTTTTTTGGTTTGTAGGTACTTCATGTCAATATCGCACCGTGCAAAGAGCTTTCGTTTATTTGTGTTAACCTCCCTCATAATCATAATTTCTTTTCCCTCCTGAGGCTTAATTTAGTAAGATATTATTAAGTTTAGCAAGTACCTATATTACCTACTTAAATGTATTTCTTAGTAAATGTCTAGCGAGGTATGTAAGTACATTAATGTACAAAATGAAATTCCGCCAAGTGGCCGTCATAGTCATACGATGACGCTGCGTGATAATGAATGCGACGTCAGCGCTCATTGATGACGTTCCGTCCATCCTAAAGCGATGCAAGCGCTTTATTACTATGTGCTTTTTAACGTGTGGCTGTTTTTTTTTCAAGTATTTAAAGTATGTACTTCTTTGTCTAGAGCTTAGATTCTAGAGCTAGACACTACTAAAGCACTGTAAATATTTTTTTCATCATTATAATAGCAATGATAAAAAAATATTTACAATGCTTTAGTAGTAGTAGCACACTAAAATCAATAAAAACCGACTCCCACAGTAAATCTTTGCTTAAATATCGGTAGTTTCAAATTGTTACACTTGGTTTCTTTTACACAAAAGGCCATTAATTGCCACCTATTTTTACATCGTGATGTCATATGAACAAACGAGGACTGTCGAACAATTGTATCATTGATCCACTTAATGTTAGACGCTGTGTCAAGTCGTATCTTCCATAGCGCTTTGGATGTTCGCTCGAAATTCTTGCGAGGATCGCAAATATTTATGTGAACAGTGTTAGCTTGTCCTGTGAGTGATTTTTGCGGTCTGCGCTTGGAGGTGAATCATTACTGCATAGTCTGTGGCTCAGCCGCCCGCGCCTGTGTGTAGCCTCACTAAGGAGATATTTAAATTTAGAATGCCCTGCCCTTGGCATCGGATGTGAATCCTTTTAACACGTTTCCCGCGAATTTTAAGTGGCCAGTGTCTTGTGAAGTGTTATTGAGTTAACTTCAAGTTAGCTAATCTAAGGATAATGTCAAGATTGTCAAGAACACATTACACTGTCAACGACGATATATACGGAAAAATATTGAAAACAAATAGAAATGCAAGGGAGCCCGCCAAGACGCAATATTCGGAAGTTTACGAAGCCGTCGAAGGATTAGGTATTTTTCTGTGATATTTTGCCACTGATTAATAACAAATCTACATAATTTTGATTTCAAGGCTTTTTAATTGATACAGCCTCTGACTAAAATATGGGTCATCAATGAAATAGAGTTGCTCTGGCAGCAAACTTGGGAAACAAAGCAAAAACTAATTGGAATACAACATATTCCACAGTTTTTTTTATGTGCCACTCATAGGAACTGTCTTATCTTAGTAATAAGGGCTTCATTAAGGCTTGTTTACTTAAACGATAAGAGAGCAAACAGTGAACAAAGATTGTGCTGTTTTAGAATTCGTCTTTCGTATTAAAATGGGACGTAAGAACGTTCATTTTAAGTGTTTAAAAAGGCGTTGAACTCCAAAATGCAAACTAGTTTTGAGCAAACATGTCTTTGAGTGCACGAAGTCCAATATTTGCTAAATATTAAATAAGGAATTTCGTTGAAGTTATACTTATTTAATTTCTGTGTCTTTCATTGCTATTTAAAATATTATTTTCAATTTAAATCAATGTAATCAGAGGGGTACTATAGGTCACTGCCGTTCTGAAATGTGAACCCCTTTTTTAAACATTCATGATAAGCATCAATTCAGCTGGTTTCGTTGATTAGACTTAGATTAAATCAAAAAGGGGAACCCGTTTTCATTTAATCTTATGGTTCAGTAGACTTTGGTCTTTTTTGATCCGTTGATAGTGACGAATCTAAAACTAACTTTACGATCGTTACTTATAAAAATATTACTTCAATCGATGATCAAGTTTATGATGGAATTCTTAATTAGAGCAGTTCTTTTGAGCCCAAATTACAATAGAAGAACGACCTCTCCCGGCTGAACTCGCCCGGCGGCTGCCTGTCCTCACCCACGTCTATGGGATAAGGCTCCATCAATGGCTCCAAAAGTATCAGCTCATCTAACTTTACGATCGTTTCTTATAAAATTATTATTTATTTTGCTCCTAAAATCTATAAATTTGATCGTAAGGTAAATTTATAATCTATGCCAGCCTTTGGATTCGTCTTAGAACATAGGCCTCCTCTTCAACTTTCCATCGACTTCTGTCCCCGGCCACTTGTATCCAGTTAATTCCAACCCGTTGCCGGATATCGTCTGTCCATCTCTTAGGTGGTCTGCCTCTGTCGCGGGTGTCATTGTGGGGTCTCCACTCTAGGGTCTTTCATGGCCCCGCTATCGTGGTTCATCCGTGCAATGTGTCCTGCCCATCTCCATTTACGTCTCTTAATCTCTTCCACCACGTCGTTGACCCCTGCCTTTTCTCTAATCCAATCATTCCTCCTGTGATCTTGTGGAAGATTAACGCCAAGTATGTGTCTGTCTGTCTCTCCATTGCTCATGCAACGCGGAGTCTCTCAGCAGATTTTTCTGACAGCGTCGTGGTTTCCATCCCATACACCAAGACCGACAGAATACACTGATTGAACACCTTGGCGTTTAGGTGTTGAGAAATTTTCTCGGAGCGGAGAACATGGTTGTTTACATTCCATCTTACAGTGGCTGTATCTAAAAAAATATAGGTATGTGATTATCTGTCTACAGCTATTCGCTCTATCAAATATTTCCATAGAAGACTTTATGCAATTTTTAATATTAATAATTATCAATAAATATTTTGTTTCAGGTTTTTACTATGAATAGAAATATTTTCTATCAAAAAACCTGTAACTATAGATCTTACTCATTGTTTGTACTGTACACTACCCATATTGGTAGCTATATAGAAACGCTCTACATCAATTTAATACCAAGGTAAACTTGAAGCTGTCTTTTTGTACTCGTATTAAGTAAGGTACCTACAAAACATTATGTCTTCCGAATATTAAATTCATTATTATAAGAGCATCGTTAATAATTGTTATTCATAACTTTTTTAGCACTGTCATATTTTTCTCAGACCTAACTGATGTGATGAGAATTGCGCGACAACAGCTTAATAGACTGATAAAATTATTAGGAATCAACAACTTTTATGTTAGTCTACAGCTCATTGCAATTATCATCATTTGTAAACTTCTTTATCAGACGCAGAACCGAAACAAAATGATGTCATCGAGTAAATTATAAATTAATGCTAGTAACAAATAAGTCAATTAAATTATATAAAGTCTAGAAGCCTAGAAGATATCTGCTCTGATCTAAGGTTAAATTTATGTTGTGTCTTCTGTTTACTACTGGGTTGAAAGGCAAAGGTTTCTAGTTTGTATTTTAACTTTTATAGTAGCCAGTTAAAATGTCTTCTCTGGAGTTGGAATTCAATTCTACATTTATTAATATTTTTGAAACTATTCAGTATATTGGAATGCCGTATAATATATATAGACAGGTTATACGCTAACATTATCACATATTAAAAAGGCACAAGTAGTCCCCACCCCAACTTCCCTTGGCAACAGCCGCCAATAGAGCGCACTAAAGTCTCTTTCTCTCTCATGCATAAAGCAGATCAGTGTTTTTGACTTCTTATTTGCTTTGGTGCCACGCATTGCGTATTTCGTGCGCTCCATCTGCCTTTTGTCCTGTAATCTGAGGGTCTCGTATTTTTCGCTTGATAGCAGCGCAGGACGCGAACGCAGACGATTGCTGGAATCGATGTTATAATAAAATAAGCAATAATTTATTTTAGCATCTACATTCAATCTTATAAATGCTATAGCTTTTAGCAATTTTATTGCGAATGCTAATTATTCCAATACCACATATTAGAAGCGTGTGTGACGTATCATATACATATATCATACCTATATCTTAAATAGAACTATAATAAGGAAAAAAACGTGTATTGTTGAACAGATACATGCATAGTTATAAGTTCTAGTTATATTATCACTGTTTGTTTTCCTAACAAAATTAATAGTTTATTCCCGAGAGCTACGTTTCCAAATTAACAGGGCCAATTATATTTATAAGATTTATCTCGTAGCGGATGTGTGTTTCTCCACTTCTCCATCAGGAAGTTTTAGTTGGTTCAAGTCCCACACATGGATAAATGATTCGTCTCGCGAGACCAATCATTTATCTGTGGTCCCACATAACCTCTCTGTCTTAATTGTTTAAAAGTGTTATGCTAAGACAGATTTACCCGTGGTCAAAAGAGGAATCTTTTTAATCCTGATCTTTTGACCGGGTTGCAACTGCACGAGGGGAAGTAAACCGAAAATTGTCTAATATGGAACTGTCGTTGATTACAGATGCCTTGCTTGCGGACCTGCAGAACTCCATCAACCCTGGCGCCCGCGTGGGCAGCCCCATTGGCCGCACCGGCTCACCCATCGGTCGCACCGGCTCCCCGGGGCGGGCGGTGTCGCCGGGCCGCGGCGCCTCGCCCGGCCGGCTGAGCTCGCCCGGCGGCAGCCTGTCCTCACCCACGTCTACGGGATACGGCTCCATCAATGGATCCAGAAATATCAGCTCAGACTACAATAAGCCTGGTTCGGTAAGTTGAGTTTTAGAATTTGAGACTAGAGAAATTTAACTGTAATCAACCTCTCGCGGTCGGCGGAGCTCGGGCGGCGGCAATCGGTCCCCTCGTTTTGTGCTGACCCGCCTTGCAGGTTATCCTCCACGATGGCGTACAGGTACGGAGGCGCGCGATGGAAGCGAAGTGCCTCCGTGATACACTCGTGGGGAAGGCTGTTAAATGCGTTACGGATGTCCAATACCACCGCAATAACAGTCTCCCTCCGTGTAGTGGCCGCCTCGGTCCACGGAGGTCGTTTATAGTATAGTAGATATAGTTTTGTAGGATAATATTTATATTTTTTTCTCTAACTTTAGTAGCTCGCACTCTATCGCCAAAAAATCCGTCTCATACACCCATACTAGTTGACTGGTAGAGAATGCCTATGACATTAAGTCCGCACTTTTACTGCGTTTTGGTAATAAAGAATAAATAAATAAATACAATCGGCCGATATCCCGATGGGGATTGGCAGGGCGGCCTTCCTTCCTCAACAGGTAGGTACGCCCCTCCTTCCAACGCCCAGGGAAGCGGCCCGCGGCGTTGCTGGTACTCAGAACCGCCCGGAACCGCTCCTCCAGGGGTCCCACTGCGAGGGCCAACACCTTCGGAGGGAGGGGGAAGGGTGGTAACCGTGGTCAACGGTTCCGACAGTCTTGTAGAAGGGACCTTTCGGGGGGCTGGAACGGGCCGGGGTCGGGAAAAGAGAGTCCCGAAGACCCGGTCCAATAGCCCCTCATCTATGGATGAAGTGCCCACACTTCTAGACGGACGGACTAGAGAACTACTAGTGTTTGGTAGTTCACGCACATCAAAGCCATGGAAAACTAATAGGTAGTCTAGGTAATTTATAAGCTCAATATGATAATTATCCTTTTGTTTATGTCAATTAATCAGAATGCAACCGCCAGCGTCACCATGAACTAGCGGTCGGCCACATAGGAACGGAATCACATGTTTCCTCGTGTTCTATTAATACGAGCCTAGTTTTCACAACTCATACATAGAAATGTATGAGAATAAATAAGACAATTTATATACGATTTTCTACTTTGCTAATTACTTAAATGACCTATATCAACTACACCAGCTGTGGTCACGGGGCAATATATAATGCAATACAAGGCGAATTTTTAAAAGTGTAAAATTGATTTGTCATACAAAGTGATCCCTTATTGCGCACCCCCTACAGTTTTGTTTTCGTACACTTTTCGATATGTTTAAAGGGGATCGCGGGTAGAGTTAAATTTGGGCAATAAGCCCCTAATTAATTTTTAAGTAATTTAACAAGTCTCCTAATTATTTTTTTATTGCATTCACCTTCCTTAAGGACGGCTCTAGATTTAGTAAATCAAATGAAAATGAAGGTCAGTAATAAATATAATATATTTCTTTTAATCATAGGGAACAAAAGCCTGCTAGAAGCTAAGCTTCACAGCGTGGTTTAGCACTGCAAGTTTGCTGCCTATCTTATTTTCGCGAAGTGTAAAACATTACAGTAAAATAACATTAGGTACTTATGGTGATGTTGTGTTTCTGTCGATGAGGAATGTGCTCCACGGGGTAGGGCGTTGGGTCAGGGTAGGCAAGTGTGCGAGTGATATTTTTGGTATCGCAAGCGTCTTTAGGCTATGGTGGCCGCTTACCATCAGGTAGGCCATACGCTTTTTCGCCATCCTTTTAACATAAAAAATGTGCAGGAGTTGCATTAACTAACTCTACCTATCCCTTCTTCCATCAAAGGTCAAGATGGTGGCTTGGTATGCTACACACTAGTTTATTTTTATTTTTATTAATTCAATGTTCTATTATATTTTGGCTAATTAAGAGGCCATTAATAGTATGGCAAGTTATATATTTGCTGCACTATTTAATAGTCTCTAAATTCGTTACTTAAGTTTTTATCATAGTGTAACTGTGTCGAATTGTATCAACTCAAAACAGTGTGAACTTATTCATCAGTTTTTTTTTTTGAACAATATAGGTATGTGACATAAGGAACTTGCACATTATTTTAGTCATTGTGATGAGGAAAGTATCTGAGAATGCTGTCGTGTGCTTTTTGAGTGCATTAAATAACTATAATACTAAGTTAGCTTTATTGAAGATTATTATTCCGTGCTGTAGCATCCAATGCGTGTATATAAACAAGTAGGATTGTAGCGCCATCTGACGCAGTTTTGTAGAAGTACCTAACATAATATGAAATTATGACGTGCAAACGTGCTTTGGAAATATTCCAAGACTTGGCTCTGGTTCACTAGATGTCACTACCTTTATTAAATTCAAAGTTTGAGATATTTCATCAATTTTGTTTTGCAACAGCACAGTCCGTACTCATAAAACCGGGGTATAATTAATGCCATGCTTGCTATGAGTGATCTGAGTGACGCATTCAGATTTTTCCGATTAAAGGAAAAACTGAAAGCTTCTTTTCAAATTTTGCCTTTCCGACTAGAGAAGTTCAGCGATAAGCCATGTACTTAAAATAATAGTTTCCTGGGCTTAAAAAATAAAAAAAACGACGGGTTGCACTCCGGGAGTGAAAACAAAAGGGAAGTGAAAACTTGGAATGGTTAGGGAATAATTTTGCACGAATTTCTTTAAGTATCAGTATAAAAGTACTAACATTTATGTGGTAGAATACAATATTTATTTATTGCCCTGTCGTACACAAACATGACAATTTATATAACATTAAAAAGTTTCTCTCAGAATTTCTTATTTAAGCGCACCTAGCGACATCTATTGTAAAAAAAATGCATTGTAAGCAAAATGTAGTAAAAATGCAATAAAGCTGTCACCACGCTAAAATAGCTGCCACGATAAAATAAAATATTACTATATTTCGTCCAATATATTTAAAGTCAACAACCTTTCCAATTTTATTGTTTTCGTCTTACGATCAGGACACGCGGCCTGTGATGCGATCAGCCCACGTGTCATGACGCGAGTTTATTATCATATTTTACCCATACAAAAAAAAGTGTACAACGCCGCTAAAGAAGTTTTCACTTTCAAAAATTATATCTATTCCTTATGTTTTATAACCAGGACTTTCTTCATTTCTAGCCCGCGTCCCATCATTATCAGTTGCAGGAGCCTGTATTTGTCATGTCTGAGTATATGCCTCAGATAAGCTACATTCCTCTGTTTTATTGTGATCAAAAGCTTTCGTTTTTGGTTGGCGGTCGGAATAGAATTTCTTGTTTAGAATCTGTACATTAACATGTTTCCATTGTGTTCACCCAATATGCCCAAATTTGTTTACTACGTTATGAGTATGACTAAGTACCAACAATGGAGACCAAAAGTCATCATCATTAGTTGTGCATTTATTTACCACAAAACTTACCATAGTCTTCATTCAGCTCTAAATATAGGTCGCACTAAATTCAGCGATGATTGTTTTATCCTTGTCCAATTTCGCTGAATGCACTCATGAAGGTTGATTTTATATAACTTGTATTAAAAGTCTAATTAATATTATTTTAAATATTTTATGAACATAATTACTGTCTTTAATGTTTTTCTTTGAAATGGTACTGCAGGCAAAACGTAGAATGTACCAGCTGCTTAATTTTTCACGTATTCAAGTCTGTTATAGGATTATATTTTATAAGGTGTCTGCCAGTAACATGCCGATGCGATATTGTTTTCATGATTTTTTTAAAAACTTTCTCCGCGCTCGATGGATGTTTGAATAACAGCAACTGCCTGTTGACGTGTTTCCTCCTTCTTACAACCTGGGATCCTTTAAAAGAGGCGTGAAGAAGCAACATGCAGGCCGGCAAATTGAGGATGGCTCGTGTGGCAGGTAGAACTGCTGTATCAACTTTCTTCACGTTTGGGCTTGACATCAGTCCCAACATCAATAGCCGATTTTTCTAACGACAGGCACTAAACCTGGCACGTCATAGCCCTAAGCGTAGCTATGATTCCTTGTCCAAGTCATAGCCACTAGGTTTCGCTATTCCATCCAAATCGTGAATGCGTGATGCTGGGGCAGCGGGGGCGTAAATAGGCTGATGATGGTGACAGTAGAAATACCAACCAGTGGCGGGGCAAGACCTAAATTTGATGTGGGCAAGACAGATTTCGCGAGGCCCTGTTCTGTGGCGACTTGAAGACGGATTTAATAAAATAATAAAAAAAAAGAAATTCGCTTTTAAGCAATGCATAAAAATTTTTGAGGCGCGAGGCCCCTTGTACCGCGAGGCCGTAGGCGGTGGCCCACGTCGCCCACGCCTTATGCCGCCTCTGATACCAACTATGAGGTTTCGTTCAAATGAAACCATAAGATAGCAATAGGTATCATCGTCTTATAAGTGGGCCAATATATACAAATCAAACTAGAAAATGTTTATACGAGAATCATTCTCCAAACTCAATGAATTATAGCTTTTACTTTGGCTTCATTTGAGTCTTCGTGTGATATTTACAGGTAAAAGGGAGCCCAATTATAATAAGTGTAGAACTTGTCATGCCGATATGCCGCCGACGATATGTTTGCCGCATCCAAATATGTCATCCAAATATCAGTTTGTCAGACAGAATATTGCAAAATGTAAAGATCCCAAAGAGAACAAGATTGATATGTAATAGGTAAACAATTTCGTGATGGAAACATCTAAATGCGTCTGCCAGATGATAAATGGGCCGTGTGTTGAAGCCAGCAGATTTGATTTAGGGCGCTTTCACGGTCGGTCTGCTCTTATAACCAGACCTGGTGTTTGCCAACTGCCATTCTACATTTCTACAAGTGTTTTCCTCAACAAGTTATAGTGATTTCTTTATTACAGCACTATTTTATACGTCTATGTGGTTACAGATTACCAATCAATATTGCATTCACAGTAGCTGTTGCATTCGGTTTGCTGGCTAATTGTCACTGTAGTAACCGGACAAAAGATCACCATATCCATTGCACAGTAGCACAACATCGGAAACGTAACAACGTGAGATCATTTTCCTACTTTTTGCCATTATTTTTATACCTAGGACTTCAAGCGGTGTGGTTATTTGTCATTTTCACAGCAATATGTACTTATCATGTACGAGAGGATTGAAAAGAAGAGACTGTTCTGAAGTTAACAAACAGCAAAAACGAATAGCCATGTTTGCTAGTGCCGGTATCACATAAATAATAATTAGTCTGCCTATTGATAAAAAGAAAGCCAATAGCGTTTTACAATTACATAACTTAAAAATGAATGACCTTACAAGTGTATAAGTTGCCCTGTTACAAAGCATAAGCAAAGTGAATAAATAAAAAAGCCAATCTGAGAATCAATCTTATCATTGCGCTATCACCCAAATGGTTCCCACCGTAAATAATCGCCAAGAAGACATTTGATGTCGATCCTGGCATGACAATGTCAATACTTTGTTTAAAAACTACCTAATCTGTTTCTTTTTGTCCACAGCCCACATACCAGAACACAAACTCGATGGAAAGAACAATACCAGTGAAAACTTACACCGGCAGCCAGGCTAGCTACGGTGGCCATACGCCCTCCTACAACACCGGACAGTCCGGGTACGGCCGGACGACCGGAGGACGCGGCAACTTGTCCGAGCTGGACACTTTGCTAGACGACCTGAGCAACGCCCGATACGGCAACTATATGGACAAGACAACGTACAACGAACGGACCGGTGAGTTTGTTTATTGGGTCATATTTGAATAATTCCTTCATCATCATCATCACCCTTTTTATGTCCCCACTGCTGGGGAACAGTCCTTCCCTATGGATGGAATAGGGAGATTGGACCACAACCAACCAACTTAACGTGTCTTCCGAAGCACGGAGGAACTCGAGATAGAATTCACCCATCCAATGACCGACCACTGCGAAAGTTGCTTAACTTCAACGATCGCAGCTGAACGCGCTAACCACCCGCGCCATCGAGTTCCTCTATTAAATAATTCCTAATCATTATAAACGCGAAAGTGAGTTTGTTTGTTACTCAATCATGCAAAAACTACTGAACGGATTGCGATGAAATTTCGTACGAATATAGTTAATTTCTTTTTATTTATTTAGTATCTTGGGGCAGCTAACAGTTTATGAACATAAAAATAACTGCTAAAACAGTACTAAAAGCTGTTGACAAACTACCACATATAGAAATCGCAATTGGTCGGTTATATAAAATTACATACTTACAACAATATTTCTCCCATGCAGATAGCAGTAGAATATTTAACATCCGTCATTAATTATACTCCCGTTATAAAATACAATATTCAGAATCAGATGATATACTTATAAGTACTTTTACGGTACCTCAGTAAATTTATTTGTACGCCTGTTGTGTACGTTTTCACTGTCATGTTTAATGTCTTGTATGTCCTGTAAGGTGTATGTCAATAACGAATATTATAATTATTATTAAATCCAGCAAAATACCAAGCAATTATAAGATGTAGCTCCTGACAGTTGGCCCTTCTGGATTTAGTTCACGAAAGTTCACTAAAACCGTTACTTTATAGTGGTACTACAATAAGATTTCAACTTAGCGTCAAGGATCTGGGTCTACTCATAGACTGTTCCCTCAGCTTGGAAGATCGAGTTGATGAAGTTTGCCGTAAAGTTATTAACACACTTAGGACTCTGTACAGATTGAAATTCTTTCTCCCTTCCAGTACAAAGGTTGCGCTCGTACAGGCTCTCGTTCTTCCTTTCCTTGACTATGCTGACGTCTGCTATTCTGATACCAATCAAAACCTTCTTTCTAAACTGGATCGTTTGCTCAATAGCGGTATTCCCTTTATCTTCGGTTTGCGTAAGTACGACCATATCTCTGACTACAGAAATCCACTTAAGTCGCGGTCCATACGTGACCGTAGAAATCTCCGTAATTGTATGCATACTTTTCACTATTTTATACGATCCACGTGCCCCAGCATACTTGAAATTTAGGTTTCAGCTTGTGGGTTCCTCCAAACCACGAGATCTTCGCTCTAACAGGCACCTTAACCCTTAAAAATCATTTTCACCGTTCTGGTTTCATTTCCAAATATTTCACCATTACAGCTATACGTCTTTGGAATGTTTTGCCATTGAATATTCGCAGTGCTCGTAGTAAGTTGTGCGTGCACACTATCTGACTACCTAATATGTCTCTAATCTTTAGTCATCTATACCATCTTATTTAGTTACTTCTAACTAATATAAAGGTACCTAGTTTGAGAAATTGCGTATTTTTGAAGTTATACTTCTTTAGGCGCGTTATGAAAAAATGATGAGAGTGAAATTTTTAGATGCGCGCGCATCACTGTAACACAAAAAATTAACAGCATGAAGTTGGTCGCTAAAGCGACTGTTACTTTTGTGTTTACCGCACCTTAAGAAAATCTACCAACAAAATAGAAATAGAATCTCTATTTAGTGGGTGCTAACGACTGCATTGTGAAGGCCTATCAAAAGTATTTATTAATCTGGAACAACGGAACCAAAGCGCGATTCAGGAGACTACAGCGCCATCTCTTGACCATTGGTGTAGTAGAACCAAAAACCACATCTTTATTTTTTGTAATAAAGTAACAGTTATAGGTATTCATATTTATAATATTTATCCACATGTTTCTAGTTTGTATATTCGGAATACGTGTTTGAGTTTCATACAAGTGCAAATCACATATGTTCTAACAAATTATATTCAGTAGCGATTTTAATTGAATATTTTGATTATTTATTTATTTTTTCAAATTAAAACTGAACTTTATTGACTGTGTCCTTTTCCAGACTTTTTATTAATTTATTGTAATTAATTCATGCAATTAAAAACTAATTTTAAACGATGCCAAAGAAGGATAACTTCTCACGCGCCTACATAAGTACACGCACCCATTTTTATTTTATTCTACTCGCATATCAATATTAAGTGAGTAAATAAACCTATTATAATACACTTTCACGTACAAAATAAAATATTCGTTATTACACTTTTGGTGCTGAAAACTGAATTTGTGGTGCTGAAATACGATGATTAATGTTGTTTCAGTGTCATGAGTTCTAATAGCTGAATGTTAGTGTTGGCAACAACTCCCGACAAAACTTCCGACCTCGAAGAAATTGTAAGACGCAAATGCAGTGATTCGTTTGAATGGTTAAACCGCGATTACATTTTTTTTTAATAAAAAGGTCCGACAGATGTCTATACCCTACCTTATGTCATGTAACACTGGAGTCCAGACTCTGACTGCTGGTGCAGCAGTTCTATAACTTTAATGCAGTTTTGTTATTTGCTTTCAGAGGTCTATTTCAACCAGTTTTTTATAACCTCTCATTTAGGGTTTGCAAATATGTGCAAGTTTAAGTAATTGAATAATCTTAATGTTTGAACCGAAATTCGAATGTATTCGAATATAAGTTTAAATGAAAGAAAACATAATTTTGTTCTTAAGTTTTCACGCACAGAAATATTAAATAAAACATTCCTCCGTCGTGGTTAGGAAAACTTGCGACTACGGAGTCTGTAAAGGACCGAACCGTCAGACATTATGATAAAAATTAGTCATTCGCGCTTTGTAACCCCTCAAAAATGGTTTAATTAATAATCTATAATAATTCATTTAAATTAAAAATATGCCCTAAAGACTTTCCAGAATAGTCTCAAACAGCCGAGTAAATAATATTACAACGAGATCGAATAAATATTTATGAATTGAATAATAAACAATAACATAAATGGAATCCTCAATTTTGTGCCTTTTCACACTTGTCCTTGGCATGGAACCAAATAATTCTTGAACCATCTATCCTTCGTTCTAAAGTTGCACTGTTCTACGAACTATGAATGCATGTGATGTTTAGTTATTTTTTTATATTAAAACTAGCTTGTGCCTGCGATTTGTCCGCGTTAAAGTTAGTTTTTTGAGAATCCCACAGGAACCTAAAATCTTTCCATCTAGCTGATGGTGAACTACATATATGCCAAATTTCATGTAAATCCGTTCAGTCGTTTAAGCGTAAAAGAGTAACAATCTACATAAACTTTCGCATTTATAAGATTAGTATGATAAATTTATTTATTTTAACATAATTTAGTCAGGCATCTTTTCGTCATATCCCTTGCGGTGTTGGCAGAGCATCAAATGACCTACACCATGACATAAATATACCTATCCAATACACAACAGCACAAATATCACCCCCATAGTAACAACTTCAAATGATCAAATTACAATATATTATTCCTGAATTCAGTTACCACTTTGGACTTGTAATTAAATTAAAAATTAAACTTATGTATGTCAGTAAATCTAAAGTTACCATTCCATCTTTAATAGTATAATCAGCATTTAGCACTGTTTTGATACTCTGATTTAGATGTAATATTCTGAATTGAAGTCTTTTTTATGATAACACTAAACAATGTAAAAATTATAAGGGCATTTAGCAGGTTTTACATAATTATGTGTTTATTGTTTAAGCATTTAACTGCTTGATGTTTAAATCTAAAGGTTTTACATAAGTTTACAAAAGATTAAAAAAAACTAAAATGAATTTGGTACTATTTTTAGAACGCTGTGTAACAAATGCCGAAGTCTAATTGTTGTAACGATAGTCGCAGAAAAAATATTTCCTATTGTTTTCCTGAATTCCTAAATTAGTTACTAGTTGGCGCGGAAGTTTATCAAACAGTTCAAGGTTAATTACTTGGTACTTACTATTTTAGACTATTTAGACTGAAATTCCTTGTTTATGTTGTTTAAATTGACATTAAATATCAACAGAGATATATTACTGTCCTGTGATTCCTTCTTAGTTTAGCTAAAATTTTCAGGGGCCTATAATTTTTTACTTTAAATGGGAATTTTTCCTACTTTGTGCGGATACTCCACTCGAATTAAAGTGCCCATCTGGGAAAGTATACTTCCATCTTTCAGAAGATAACATTACATCTTCCTATTCCATCCATAGGGAAGGCATGTGCCCCAGCAGTGGGGGTATTAAAATGATGATGATGAGGCAACGGTGCGAATGATATTTTCGATATCAAAAGCATATATAGGCTTGGGCGGCCGTTTACGATCAGGCGAACCATAAAATTTGCCACTCTTAAAATGTACTTAATGTAAATTTTTCTCTTTATTTTTAGGCATTATATTATTGCGCATATTAGGTAGTACAGCAAGCACATCTGCTTCCCGCGCTTAAGTAGTATCCGTGTCCTGTTGACGCAAAGATCGCGCATACGCATACGCTACTAACATGGCACATGTTTATATTACATCACTGGCATTGTCTCCGTCATCTGTCGCGCTTGGCATTCGGTTCGAGTGTCAAGCACAAGCGTGAAGGCCACAAATTTTATGAGCATTGCAGAACTTAATGTTTGTTGTTTTTAACCGTTTTACTACAACTTAAACATTAGTTATATTACATTTATGTTAAACTTAACCTAGTTTATTTGGTTGTATTTGTGTAACAAAGACAAAGGACAAATAATAAAGTGTAATACTTATTTAGTAGTGATTTATTTTATAAATGTGATAAATGCTTCACATTAAGTTTTCAAACCTATACGGTCTTATTTCAATATATAATTATTTGAATGATCAATATTTTTTCTTGATCCATTCCTAACTAACAAAAGGTAAATTATATAATCCGCAAAAATAATATTATTCTTTATTGTAATAATTCGTTTTATCAACGTCTCCACAATTCCATTCCAAGTTCACAATTTTTTTTTTAAAAGATTTTGTTATTTCTAAGCGTCAAGCATGAATTTTGACAGCTCCATAATCGTATTTTCAGTGACAATTTTGGTCCGCTAGGGGCGCTGCTTATTTCCATAGAATCTGACGATGTGATATAATTACGGAGCTGTTAAAATTCGTGCTTCTTCTTCTGTTATATAGCTTATCTATTATACTTATAAACTAGTCAAAAATATTATTTCAGAGTCTCACAATTTTGAAGCCCTGTGAACGAAATCCGAATAAATTCATTATTTTTGGCTCCGTTCCTAATTAGTGAAAATGCTTTTATTTTCATCGTAACACCTCGGCAGCGTGTCTCTTTGTACTAATACCAATGTAAACATGACTTTTACTGTTGTATTCTCGGTTTCATCTCCAACCTTGAATGCTGGCCCGGCTGGACTGCATTATTTATGCTAACTTTTTACTTTTACTCCAAAGGTGTTTTTATATTTCGTGTTTTTCAGTAAGATTGTTTACCTGTTTGCCTAAATAGTATTCCTCCCGTAAGTGCGTAATACTGATTGCGCAATATAAGAATACTACACGAATTCTTCGCAATAAATTCTTACAAAATCTTGAATCGACGGGGAATAGAATACGGAAGTTTAAATATGACGACATGGAACAACCACTGAAAAACAATATTTAGTAAGAAAATTTAGGACAAGTACTCTACGATATGAGTGTTCATTATTTAAAATTAATACTTAGTATACTTATTTATTTTTGTTCTGGAAAAAGGTTACGATAGGCAACACGCGAATGATAAGTTGTCACACTGGCCTTATAAAAAAACTTACACCTATACCCCAAAATCACTTTGACTCAAAAATAAAAAAAATATTTGTCCCCAGCGACGGATGGGTACGCGCGCACCAATGGAGCAACTAGTCCAGCTTCTTCCAGGCCTACGGTCGACTCCTTGCTGGACCAGCTTAGCACTGATGTCACCAATGGGTATGTCTTTTTATAATAGAGATGTCCTTTAAAATAACTTATAAGATAAAAACAAGCATATAACCCGCCTGATGGTAATAACCTTTACTCACTCACAAAAACAGAACAGCTAGCTTTTGGTAGCTATTGTATACTGTGGTTTTTTAAAGTGGAGGATACTTCCCCAGAAAGGCGCCAAAAAAAGAATCTGTCTCTCTCTCTCTCGAAATTCCTACATTCTACAGCCTGCGCTGTAAAGGAGTACCTTGCAGATCAGGTGTGAGGGGTTAGTTTGGGATGAATATCTGCTGAGCAGCTAGATATCTTTCTTGTTTCTAATTACACTTGACATCAACTTGAATTGTCATATTCACCTTGCCGGCTGAAACTTATTCCTGAAACTTTAAACAGCTCCCACATTTCTCATAATACGAGCTACATAACACTGTTATACAGATTATCTTGTATAATAAATATAATGAACCGCGCCTACATGTATTGCTATTTTAACTCCAATCAGGTCATGGCCGTTTTTAGATTGTTTACAATGTGATTAAACAGTATATTGGAGTTTTGGCGCCAGAGACTCTTCATAAACAATATGTGTATATAGGTGTCTGATGTTACATTGCATTGCAACTGGTCTGACTTTGACAGTCCTACAGTCATCACAAATTATTAGGCCCGTTATGACATTTGTAACTAGTGATGTAACCAGACAACTCTGCACACTTTACTCACGATAAATCACTTCAAGTTTGTATGAGTATTTGGTTATGTATTGTAAAGTGCATTGGATTTAAGATCTGATTAGAAAATTTAACTTAAATTTTAATATTGTAGGTAATTTAAAAAATAATGTGGTACGAAAGGTTATCGTCAGAACAGCTAGGTTGTGGAACTCGTTGCCGGAATCTCTGTTTCCAGTCACCTATAATATGGGGCTCTTCAAGTCGCGAGTTTATCGGTTTCTTCTAGGCAAGCGCATTCCACCTGCGTCGCTCTTCATCAGGCGCGTGGCCGTCAAGCGTAAGCCTATTTAATGTAAAAAAAAAGGTTGATTTGTCTGTAATTCAAAAAATGTAGTTGCAATAACATTTGCTCAATTACAAAAAATCAAGAAAAGCGAATGTGATTGATCTTAAATCAATAATTTTCTTCTGATGATGAGTTAAAATTGTCAGATGAGTTATTGTGTAATTTTACGTCCCTAAATTACCGAAATCGATATTTTTTATGACAAACTTTACGTCTCTAATGAAAATGAAGAACAATTTTTTTTCAAGTTTGGAACTAATTTTGATTTTCGAATATGAAACTTCATGGGCGCACAAATGTCAAAACGGGCCTATTATTTTGTGATGACTTTAGACGAACCTTAGTGATAATAATAATTGGGCGACTCTATTTTATGTTTCAATTATGTCATATACGAGTAAGTGTAATTAAATTCTTCTTTATACGTTCTAGGTCCTATATATTGGAAATATTTTAGTATTTTTATTAAACTTAGTTTTCAGGTCCAGGACAATTATTACTTTTACATCGATTTATTTTGCAACTCCTGATATGAATAGTTTAAATTAATAAAAGGAAACAAGAGTTATAATTTAAAGCTATATATAGCATAAATACCTAGTGGCTAGATAATATACCACTGGATAAATGCTAATAAATAATGCAAATCTAGTGAATAACACCATGAACTTAATCGTAAATATGTGTGGGTTATTATAATAATTTAATATTGCTAGCGGTCGAATTCACAGACATTTTCCCCTTTATTCCATAACGCAGACGATTAAAATTAAGTTTTGGTTTAAACCTAATGTTTCTCTCTCTTCTTTTTAGTAAACAAAAGTTGCAGCATCAGTTTTAGTTCAGGTTTAACCTTAGTCTACGTTTTGTTATAAGGAGTCTATGTCTGTCCGTGGTCGAAATAAACCTTTTTAATTATTTTGTCAGCATCATCATGTGTGTTTGAAACGCATGCTAGAATGTGTAATATTTATTTTTTAATTTAATTTAGCTTTATTGCATTTCTTCTCCATATAATTTTACTTAATATGCTAAATCTCACACTCTTTCGTGTGCAAAATGTGCTTAAAACGATTACGAAAGACTGCTTCATGAAATAATATGACAATGACTACAACACACACCAATAATTTTAACACACTGCCCTTCATATTCATTTAAAGTCCTATTAAATTATTTATTATGAGATCAGTAGTATGCCTTTTTTGTATTCTTTCCTATCAGTCGTCACTTTATCATCTCTTTCCTTTTCAAATCATATTATTTAATTTTTGCCTTTGGTAGAGTTCATTAGCACAGCAGCTGTGCCGCAACGTTTATAACTGAGACAGATCAAAACTTTTCTTCTCTTCAATAAGTTTCTAGAACGAAATAGGTATTTAAACTTAGGTCGACACTTGATCGAATCCAACAAATCATACATAGAGTGGGATGCCCCGTAAATATTTTTCAGTGCGTACTGTTTGTGCCGTGTGAAAACTCGTATTTTTGTAACGCCCGCCCACTTGTGAACGCGCTGCGTCAGTATATACACTCGTTTTGTTATAATAACAGGGTGACCATGTTATGCAACCCTGAAACCACTCTTCCCTAGTTCTAATTCCAAATGTTTTAAATAAGCTATGACATAATTAAAGTTACATTAAAAATGCGATAGTGACCGTGTGAACCTTTACTATAATTCTCGGTCTCTTTCCCGGTGCGTTAAGTTTGCGTGATTGTAATTCTTAAAGCATATGATATAATAAAATATTCATAGCATTAGCAGGTACCCTCACTACAACAATGTCTTCGTAGAAATACTGTTGGCAAGATTTCATGCCCTCCACGATTTATATACGCCACAAGAAGTAACCGTTGATCTTTCCAAGGCCCCTGTTACTCTCTGTAGATTTGGGTATCAAAACATTAGAAACGGCAACGGTTACTTATTTTTCCTTTAAAAATAACATTGAATAATCTTAAAAAAGTTTTTACTTACTAGTAAAAAATCCACTTGGTCGAGGCATCAGTCAGAATTTGTACCACTTTCCGCTAACTGGCCATGTCAAATTTCTTTTTGTATTTCTTGACTGCAAGGCAGCGCCATCTCTTCGCATTGTAGATAACTGTTATGATATAGTACGTCCATAGTCTATGTAATATTGCGTGCAATAGTCTGTGCTCGCTCTCTTAGGTCCATGGTTTGATAGCTCATCGTCGCCTGGTTGATTTGCTTATTAATGAAGATATGCTTGTTTTGTTAATAAGTAATGTCCTAAAGTTGATTTTCTAATTATGTAATGTCTACAAGAAAAGCTGATTTTACTAATTATTAAATACGTGTTAAATATCTGTCGTGGCACCCCAAATCATTATAATAACCCACAATGTCAAACGAAATACTTTAACAAGTATTAAACATTTGAAAAAAGATGTACCTAACATTAATTGAACTTTTTTATATTGCTATTTTAAGCATTTACTTTATCCGATTTTTGTACAGAAAACGTGGCCAACGTAAGGTATACATATCTGAAGCCGTCTAGAATGAGCTACTCTACACTGCGTTAGAATATATAAATCTATCCTTCACGCCAACCAAATGAAAAAAGTTTCCATTATTTACAGTTTCTCTGTTGATTTCAATGTTGACATTGTAACATAATATTGAAATTTATTTATTTCACACTTTTTTATTTTTAGACAGGCTGTTCAGTACCCTTAGCACGAACCATTATCGAATTCGAATAGTTTGCGAGTCAGAAATGTTTTTGTCAAATGTGTAATAAGTTTTAGTTCTCGTTACGTCCATTGTGGCGCTGCTGTTCAAGTTTCCATACAAAATTTGACAACGACATTTCGCACTCGCAATCTATTTGAATGTGGTTCGTACTAAGGGTACTGGAATTTACACTGAAATGGGGTTTCAGTTGGTATACAAATAACCACGGTTATAGAATATTTTGACACAATACTTAATCGGTTTTTTAAACAAACTGGCTGTTTAATATATGAAGCTAGGATTTTTAACTTTTCATCTTTCAAGGACGAATAACACACTGGAATAACAAAAAAACACAAGTCAGAGGCATTATTAATAAAATACATACATTTTTTTAAGAAACTATCGTTAGTTTACGATCGAGCATACGCCAACACTGATTTATGATTTCCGGTTATGTTCTACAGTGTATTTCGGCGTGATGGTTGTTATTCTTAAATTTTGCTATGGTAGATTTATCCTACTAATATTATAAATGTGAAAGTTTGTATGTTTATCACTCAATCCCGCAAAGACTACTGAACGGATTTTGATGAAATTTGGTACGCATATAGTTTATGACCTGGATTGTGGCATAAGATACTTTTTATCCCGGAAAAGTGTTAGTTTCCAGAAGGATTTTCAAAACACTAAAGTTACACGGGCGGAGTCGCATGCGGCCGCTAGTAGTAATATTTTACAAGCATGTCAATTGTGCCGTTGCGTATCTGTAGATGTTCTTATTGCGCATTATGATATAAGTGCGGTAAGTTGAGAATTACAGCCGAGGCGATATTGTTATAAGAAGGCAGAGGCTGTAATTATCAAACCTCCACGTATGTCATACGACGTTTTATAACACATTTGCGAGGAAATAATACTATCTACGTACGTACTTTCTGAAAATTAATTTGCACCTTTGTTTGTTTTCCATATGATGAAATTTTTATACGCTTGACTGTAAGTATCTATCCGTGGATTTTTCGGGCAAGAGGCTTAGCGTAGCCTTTTTCGACTTCTGGCGGTTACGACTTCGGCGTTATTACTTGACAATATTTTCAAATAAAAACAACACAGCGAAAAGAATAAGAAATAACTTTTTCACAGATTAGCGATGCGCGCGCATCAAAAAAAAGCCAGTGTTACTAATAAAGTAAATTAATATTTTTGCGAATTTGTTACCGATACGTGGTTGTAATTTATTGTCAAAATTAATCAAATTAAAGAATTAAATGTTTATGTTTTATCTCCCAAAGTTAATTTTATTAAGAAAATGTTCCGCTACCTTTCTGTCATAAAAACTCTTTGCTAAGATTTAAAAAAGTATCGTTCGTTTTTAGACGGAACATAGTAAGCCGTGCGTTTTACTTTACATTACCGCACGCGTGTGTAATGTGATAGATTATGATATTGAAATTGGTGCAATAAGAGACGTTTTAAGAGCAAATTTGTTACAAAATATAGTATCCACTGTTACTATTCTTGCATTGTCTTTGTCATAAGGATTCTTTGTATTTATTTATATAATAAGAGAGATCACACGAATACATAAATACAAGAGTAAGGCGTTATTTTACTGTATTGTATTTTTTTTTATGCTTTACGCTTTATACTATGTGGGATGGCAGAAGTTCAAACAGACTGACTTTACCAAATTTGGCACTGGCCTAAATAGTTAATTTAATGCATCGACAGCATGGTTCTAGTTGTATTATTAATTTAACAATAGGATTAGAACCATGATGTTGGAACAATAGGTTAAGATAGGTGTCCAGGCCCGCCCTTGGGTAAATTTACTAGCTTTAATGGAAAGTTAACATACGCCACCTTCCATAAAATCCTCTTTAGCTCTTAACTATGGGATAAATTAAATTTAGAGGATGCAAATAGCGTATTATTTTCAATGTTAGTTAATAGTCGCAACAATAAACTATTGGCTTTGGCTGGTCGTTCCACTCTTGCGCACACATTTCCGTTTCTTTAATTAGTATTTATTTGTGTTCTAACACAATAGCGCAGTGTTGCACCTGCCAGCTGATTTCTAATCTGACATTCATTATATTAGTATGTCACCCTTATTAAATACAGCGCATTTATTATATGCGAATTATTAGTAGCTTTGACATTAATTTATTATAAGTAAATAGTGTTTGCTATTACCTACATATTGTGTAAAATGTGTTGAACGAGTGACCGAATTCTTGAAGCTCAAACCACGTGGAAATGTTTTATATTTGTTTCTTCGTGTTACGTCACATTTTATATTAGAGAAAAAGCAATTCAACTATTCGAATTTGATATTGATTTTTGCTTATGGTACCGATCTATTAAAGTTCGTGCTTAACGGATCTGTCAAAGATCGTGCTTGGGATACAGTAAAGAGTTTAGAAAATATGAGACCGTTTCCAAGTACCCATAGAAAAGTATGGGTCGTCGTAATTGACTACCTACTTAACGACTAACTACTAAAAAACTTGTGCACGGAAACGGCGCCTGATTTTTGGATGATAAAAGTTTAGAAGTAATATAAAACCAACATTACACTCGTCTTACACACAAAAACAATGTGAGCAGTAGTATGTTCTTCGACAATAGGCGATGACCAGTACTATTCAATATATATATATATATTTTTTAGAGATAAGTGTAGAATTATTTACCTAATACTAACGCTTCCTTTCCTTCCTCCATCATCAAGCATGCTTCCACGAGCGATGTTTTACAGCAATTGTTTTAAGAAACCAAGACGTATTTTCCATTTATTAGCCAAATTATGTGTTCATAAATAATATAAACAAATACCTCGTTTGTCCAAATCAGTCGGGCATCGACGTCCCCCGTTCCTCCGTCGTCAGGCACGCTCCCCCGACCAGGCACCAGGCAAGTGACGGTGACGGTGCAAGAGACGGTGGTGGAACCGTCGCTGCCGCAGCCGCCGCCTCCGCTGCAGCCACCCGCGTCCGTGGCGCGCCATCACCACGCCTCCAGCGCCACCAAGGAGCTGGACGACCTGATGGCTTCCCTCTCGGACTTCAAGGTGAGTGAATGCGATTGCTGCCGCAATTGCCTCTTTCCTTGCCTTCCTTGGCAGGCCTATTATCTAATGCACAACTTATTTGTGACCGGTTGCTTCACAATTGCATGACGAATATAGACGCTAAAATGTCCCAAAAGCATTTAAAGCTTTACTATACACATATCCATTACTGTTCCGAATCACAATAAATATTGTGATTTGATAGCGATTGTCATACAAAAAACTGGAGCAGAAACTCAGTCGCGTTGTGGTCGCAAGTTGCTATTGCTTAAGGCAAACGCGGCGTGATCCGGCAGGTTAAGTAGAAGCCTTTATTTACGTGATAGGTCTAAGGTTGTTGCAAGAACATATATGAGGACTTCTCTCCGTTCATTTCATTTAGCTCAGGACTCTGCAAGATGAGCAGGGCCCTATCCACTAAAACCACAGGCGATACCCATGCAGCGATAACGCGACACGCACTTAAACGACGGAGGTCCCCAGAACGCGTACAGAGAGAGCGGATGTAGTTGTGGCGCCCCGTTATTTCTGGCCACGCAAACATGCTCTACGGTAGCCACCATAGCGTAGACTCTTAAAACACTAGGCATAATTACTTGCGAGTTATTTATCCCCGTCTCGAGAAAATCTGATTTTGACGACTTCACCTTCCACGGGTACCATTACGTATATCCATGCTTGCAGCAGTCTGAAGTCTGACGACTTCAGACTTAACACCCACCAACCCGCACCGGGTCCTCGTGGTGGGCAATTGCCTGTTCCCTCTTTCCATAAGGAAGGCCCGTACTTTATTAATATAATCAAATTTTCATGTGATTAAATTCTAAATAGAATTTGAGCAATTCTATTTCTACTAAGTGAAGATCAATAATCCACTCATAAGAGAGCCGGCATTAATCAGCACAGCCGGGCGGTGAATATGTAATATGTGTAGATGAATGTTCAGCAGTAATTACTACGGGTCGGCTTTGTTGTTCGAAAAATACTGCCGAACCGACCATGCCGGCCCGATTATGTGTGTAGCTATCCTCCTGACCTGTAAGCATGGCCTCAGCAATCTTCTTGATGTTTCTTCCTGACTTGCGTCATCGACATTTTTCCTTGTATGGTCTACGTTATTTGTTATCAAAATTCACAAAATATAGAACCTATCGTTATCTATACCATTGTAAAAGATTTCTTTAGTAACCGATTGTATTTAAAAATACCAGTGCATTTGTGTAAACTACTAATGTTATAAACAAACGGTCGTAATTAGCACATTAAAGAAACCAAAATCAGAACAAAACAGTGCCAACCTCATTTAACGGATTAGAGAGACATTGAAACAAAACAAAACTAACTCGTGCCGCGGATAACTATAAATAAGTCTTTCTTCGATGACGGTCAATCAACACACAGGCTGAATGATCTTGTGTACACTCGTAAATAGATTAGCGAGTACTTTACTAAATTTCGTACAATGTATTTTAAGAAGTAATAAGATTTTACTTTTTATATTTTTATTAACAAGTGCAGTCTTAAGTTTCAAATAAAACAGCTATAAATCTTTATAGCAATTTATGCCTCGACCCGTGACAAGGTGACTACTTGCCAAGAAAACACTTACTGGCGTCATTACTATAGTTACTGTAGTGTGTGGCACCTCAAAATTCCTGCGTTTTATGTCTCTCAATGTTTGCCTTCTAACTTCTTCATTCTCATTCATGAAATCTGGATAAACCGTTGTACTTATAATGCTTTAGTTTCAATCGGCTATCCCGGATCCTCATGTCATAGTTGAGTCATCGCCCTAAGGCCTGCTATCGTTTAGCTGTCATGATCGGTTCGGCACACTGCACCACAGCGAAGCCAGATTTTCCGTTTATTATAATATTTACAAGTCTCCTTTCTTGGGCCACGGCTATTTCCAGCCGCGCGTACAGGCAGCTCTCCAGCGCCGCCGTCTCGTTCGCACCCATATCTCCCGCGCTAGAAATAGTCCCGGGCGTTACATCACAGTGGAGGGGCCGCGAGCTTTTAATATTAGAGTACACACAGAAACATTTCACTCCGCATTCGCTCCAGTCCACCACGACCGGACGGTTTAGACTCTGTACGTGGCCGAACGCGACTCCGATCTTCAGATTTCGCATTCTTGACTTTGCCAAATCTGCGGACGGAAGTCTTCGTTTGAACTTAGCATTGGGGAGGCCTTGTAACTTGTGATCGTTTTCAGGTTAGCGGCGCAGGAGGCGAGGGCGGAACACACGTGTACCGCGAGAGGCACGCGTGGCAGGAACATTACCGCAGCAACCCCAGACAACCAGAGCCAGCCTCACTCGAGCATATGCTCGGATCCCTCCGAGCAGACATGAGCCGCCAAGGAGTCCAAACCCCCCAGAAGGGGTGCTGCAACGCCTGCGAAAAGCCCATCGTCGGACAGGTCGCGACACCTTTTCTATCTCGGATTTGCCAAGTGGAAGCAGCTGTGTTTGTGTTGAAAGTGACGTAACGGACTTCTCTCGGTACAGGTGATAACCGCGTTGGGTCGCACCTGGCATCCCGAGCACTTCACTTGCGCGCACTGCAATCAGGAGTTGGGCACGAGGAACTTCTTCGAGCGCGATGGCAGACCCTACTGCGAGCCAGACTACCACAACTTGTTCTCGCCCAGATGCGCCTACTGCAACGGACCCATCCTGGATGTTGGTTACATTCAAACTTTACTATGCTACATTTCGGATAACGTCTTGTATCACTAAACTGAGTTCGTTTTCTAGAAATGCGTGACGGCCCTCGAGAAGACCTGGCACACGGAACACTTCTTCTGTGCCCAGTGCGGCCAACAGTTCGGCGAGGACGGCTTCCACGAAAGGGATGGCAAGCCGTACTGTCGCGCTGATTACTTCGATATGTTCGCTCCCAAATGCGGCGGTTGCAATAAGCCCATCATGGAGAACTATATCTCAGCGCTCAACACACAGTGGCATCCAGATTGCTTCGTCTGCAAGGTCAGTATAGGTATCGCTCATTATAGGTCTCCCACCGCAGAACTTCCAGAGAACTCGCCATTACAGGATTTGGTAAACAAAAACAATTTCACAAAAGCGTCTATGCCAGGTTAAGTATTCTACTCCACCTGAAAGTTCAGAAAGAGTTATAAACTTTTTTTGAACTTTTAGGCTACCACAGCTAACGGTTATTTCAATTACACAGGAATGCCAAACCGCCGTCAAAGGCAAATCGTTCTATGCCATGGAAGGGAAACCCGTATGCCCGAAATGCGTTGGAGTCGATGAAGACGAGTAAGGGATGATGCTACTGCCCCAAAATGGATGCCCTCCCCAAATATTTTTTTGCAGCTATGCTCGCCGCCCCGGCGTTGGAATGAATGTACACAACACACAGATGCTATTCGAACACACAAACACACAAAACACTATACATACACGAGTCCAAGTATAGCTTAATTTATAGGAATTAAATTATGTAATATATTTTTGTAATATTATTGTAAAGCTAAGATTTATTTATAATAAAGAGAACAAAATAAAAAAAATAAAGAATAAAAATAATTTAAAAAAATCAATAACAAAAACAATAATGAAATAAAAGTCGCGGGAGAAAGATGGCGGTGCCGTTTCTCCCGCGGCTGTCTGTCAAGGTCACGTGCGTACGCGCACGGCAATGACCTTTTATCAATTGTTATGTCGAACGAAGTAGGGCGATGTCGAAAAATGCCGCTAAACTGCAGCTAGGAAGGGGGTCAAGTGCTGCCCGGATAGGGTTTCCCGTGAAGTGTGTCTCTATTAATAGTGTCGCTGGTGACGTCACGCCGGCGTCTCTGCAGCCACACCGGCTGCGTAAATCAGGCCGCTTTGTTTATGGGCCATCGGATCAAACGCTATTTTTGACCGCGCTCTAATTATAAATCGGTCGTTAGGCGACAAATATAACGGGCTTTCCCCACAACACGAAGAAAGCTTCGTTTCTAATTAAATTAATAGGTCCTTTAAAGAAATGACACAATATTACTCTGAAAAGACGAAAAACTTGACATCATATTTGCAATGTTGTTAGAAACTTTACGCTACGACGCACAAGCGATCACAACGAGCACAGATGAGCGGGAAATATGTATGTATACTGAAAAAGCGACGGATATATGGCCCCAGGCCAAGCACATTATTATGACATACTCACAAGTACACAGAATGTACAAATTGTTCATTACCCCAACTAGGCAGAGGAATGACTAATATTCAGTAAATAATATTCAGCGTTTGAATATTTATGAATATTATATGCGTTATCGTAGCATAGGAATAACAAACACACAATCAACAAGAAAACACAAAACGAAATTCTTTGGATTTTTAATACCTTCCTCTTAGGGACGTATATTTTTACCCTTGAGCCAGGGGGCAAAATGAAAAAGTGCAAATAGTAATTGGCCCGGTTAGCCATATTTTAAAATACACCCCTGCTTCGTCTACGAACATGATATTATACGTAATATTGTAATAAAATATAATATAATAATTATAATAATATATAATATGAAAGAAGGAACTAATAAACACTGCACAATGCACATAGACTAAATTTTTTTTAAGTAATCTTGAGATTTTTTTATACCCCATCGTTTACCCCATCGTGTATCGTTGAATAGGTTTTTTAAAATTACTTAGGGGTTCCTAAGACTTTTCCATTTAGGGATACGAAGTTTGCGAAATATTGAATGTCGTGTAGGACGTTCCCGCCTCTAAAAGCTAAACTATTGACTTGAAAAACCTGGGAAAAATCATGATAATAGTGCTTTTCATGAACTTTCAAGGAAAATTATAATGGTTAAAATAGAATTGTTATTTTAAAAGTAATAGTCGTTCAACTTATGTATAAGAAAATTTCTGACCTAATAAAAAATTCTGAGAAGAAAAAATTAAAAGTGTAAAAATGCTTAAAATATAAATCTTTCCAAAATAAATTGTGATGACGACGAGAAACTATATAATCCAACACTGCGCGTGGTAGGACACGCACTTGGCCTGTTTTTTTACCTGTTATGATATAACATTACCGCCGTTGAAACAAGACATAAGTCGCGGCACGAAACAAGCACTGACCGTTATTGTACAGAAGTAAAAATTGGGCGTGCGTTGCGCCGATTGGCTCTCCAGTCTTACCCATGCACAGCTATCCCCTCCGCGTTTTATTCAGCGCTAGAGTTACGTGCCGCGACCTGTACCCTTAGCACGAACCAATATCGAATTTGTAACGTTTGCGAGTCCGAAATGTCATTCTCAAATGTGTGCAGATTTTTAGTTCTTGTTACGCACTTTGTGGCGCTGCTGTTCAAGTTTCCATACAAAATTTGACATTGACATTTCGCACTCGCAAACTATTCTAATTCGATATTGGTTCGTGCTAGGGGTACTTACTGTACGCAAGCGGCCGGTACCCCCATACACACGACACGCTGTACCAGGTACAGGTACGTACCTGGGCGTTTTTCCCCGCCCCCACGACAACGGCTAACTAGAGCCGAGGTTCGAGTTTCAGAGACGCCCTCTAGTTGAGGCATCCCCTTCAGGTTCGAGTGTTCTAGAGGCACCAGACGGAGAGGAGGCTCCCCCCGTGGGGAGATGCCATCCGCCTGGAATACCTCTAGAGGCACTCGCCAATTCTCGGCTTGAGGTCCCCTGAGGATCTCGCCATCTCCAAACCCGGTTACGCTGTAAAGGTCATCTGCGAACTATCAGCATGTATACTCAAAAAAAAATGGCCGGTACCTTTGCCCATAGGCGCTTACGATACCAGAGACCCAGCGTAACCAAAACTACAAAACATGACAAAGTGGTTAAGGGACTTCCTATAGGAAATAATGATAATACATTTTTGTACAACTGTTCGTAATGTATGATTTGTTCATATAAAAAATACATTGATTGAAAGTGCCCACAATGTTGAAAACGTTACGAAAATGTTGATTTTTTTTTGACTAGAGGGTTTATCAATGCGTCTACGTCTCGTGTAGAAATACCGTATTGATTTTGATAATCAAGAGGTCTAGAACTCTGTATCTTTCATATACTTACTCGTGTTATCATGAGCAGGAAAGTCTACCATAATCCCATTACCCTACTGCACAAATATTGAAATGCCTTTACTTCATGTTGTTCCGTATTCCAGGAGTGCCGCGAGCCCTTCCACGGCGGTTCCTTCTTCGAGCACGAGGGCCAACCGTACTGCGAGACCCACTACCACGGGAAACGGGGTTCCCTATGCGCCGGGTGCCATAAGCCCATAGCGGGGCGTTGCATCACGGCGATGTTCCGGAAATTCCATCCTGAGCACTTTGTTTGCGCCTTCTGTCTTCGGCAACTGAACAAGGGAACATTCAAGGAGCAAAACGACAAGCCATACTGCCACTCCTGCTTCGATAAACTCTTTGGGTAGGCGATAGATGGCGCTGTTAAAGTTTAAAACTATGTTTTTAACTGGTAACATGCGCAGAAGTATTTTGAACTTGCATAAGATTGAATAATATTTTCGACAAACTCTATTGATGGACAATAGATGGCGCTCATCAGTATAGAAAAGTTTTAAACCGAGCTACCGACATGAATGATGAAGGTTTTATTTTTATCGAACACAGTCCCCGTAGCATGAGCACCATTTACATTATATCACATTTTTTATCGCGCCTAACTGTCAAACTCCATAGTAATTTGACAATTGAGCGTGATAAAAACGTGTTATATAGCAATGGCGGTGCTCATGCTAAAGGGGCAGAAGTATCACTTCCTTCGTCGAAATCTTCGATTTCGGGAGCTCATCAGAACACGTAACACTAAGTTTTACTTGAAAACATAAATAACAGATGTTCAAGTGTGTTAATGATAAAACTTTCACGTCATAAGAAATAAAACTATTAAAAGTAGTTCTGGCTAAACTATCACGGTGGATATGCATACTCTTGATACTTATTGCTAAGCAATAAGGGTCAAATCGTAAAATGTGACGAAATCTATGTCATGTGGTGTAACGAAACGCATACAGCGATGAACGGCCTTAAGAATACGATGCCATAATATATCTAAATCAACGAAATTCGACCTTTAATATAATGATTTGGTGATTGTGCCATAAATTATGTTAAAAACAGCAATAATTACATTCAATGACAATCAGTATTTTTCAAAACGCGCTTGTATTTTTATTATATTGTTCAGGGAGGATTTGTGAATCGAGATTTTATTTAGTAAACCAACATAATAGAACGATCATATGAAAATAAACGCTTTATTAATTTGAAAATAAAAAATTGTCTAATCATAGTATCAATTTTCACAAGCATATTATGTATCTAATATGTAAGTATATTGTTAATGCACAAGTATCTAAGTTTTGTGTTTTCTCATCATTGGCCAACACTGAAACAGCTACAATATGGATATAGTATTTAATTTGCATTTGAAAAGTCAGATATTTCAATAGAAATACACCATTCCACTTTTACCATACAATAAAAGGATCAGTCGATGGTTTTTATGAATATCGTCTGATTTCAACGACTATCATTAAAACCCTTCAATTTGACTTTTGGAAACTTCAATTAAATTTGAAGTTTTTAAATATCTATCAAATTTCAAATAACAAAGTATTGTTTTGAACATTCGAGTTTGATGTAAGTATATTAATATCCTTCATTGAAAATAGTTGAAATTGGACAGTTTTATATCTTTATTGCAAGCTATATTGTATAATTGCTTTAAACCAGTGTATGTAATAACGAACCTGTATAGTGTAATTATTTCTTATCGTTATCTTTCGATAACACAATGTTACTGAAAATATAACAAAAATCAACAGATCAGTGAACAGAAAATTATCTGTTTTCATTGAAAATTATCAACTTTACTTTGATTATATTCACGCCTAAATACCGAATTAACAGCACGGAAGCGCCCCAAAAATATCTACTACATAAGGTAGATCCGTTTGTCGCTCGCTACACATAGGGTTACCATTCAGGAACTTCAAAAGTCCTGACATAAATCCTGAAATTTCGAAAGGAGACCGGACTTTTTAGTCACACAATGGTACCATTCCTCACTTAGTTACAATGGTATGGTATTTAAATCAATATGTACTTTTATTATTTATATGCAATGTAACTTATAAATCCGGACAAATTTCGGACTATAGCGTAAATTCACGAATTTATTTAGACGGATGGTAACCCTAGCTACACAGCGTCACACATCGCAGTTAATTTGTATTAACTGCTTCCAATTGATTTGTTATTATAGTCACTCACACATTGCGCGTAACATGAGCAGTTTTCTTTTCGTGGTTTGTTCTACGATATTAAATACCCAAGATACACCAACACGACCAAAATCGTGGCCGAAACGAGTCCAAAAGGTACATTGGACGATCCACGGAGCCTCGTAAGATGAACGCGTAGTCAAAAACAATATAAGGCATTATTTTAATATTGAGAATCATCTTTAATGCATGCTACATAAGGTCTTAATTAAAACGCATGCGTCAAAGAGTTAAGACAGTTCTATCTAGGCGTGTTTATAATCAAAGCAACAGACTAAGTGATATTAATATATGGTAATATATTTTATCCAACACGCGCATATTATTTATTGCCACTGCAATCTCGGGCTTGTACCCTTGTCCATTTTGTACTCAAATTCTACTTGGATAAAGCTCATGGTCTCGATTCTAGCGTGATTCTCTAAACTTAAAACTAAATTTAGCATCAGTCTCTCCTTTTCATTCTGTATAGACAATGACAGGGATGCACTGTTGTCAAATTTAAGTTTAGCTTTAAAGAATCATGCCAGAATCGACATCAATATATTGCTATAAATAATAATAATTTTTTGTTTATATAAAATATGTACAATAATCCCCTTATCAATCAGACGCCACAATCAAATGTTTAAGTATATGTATCCGGCTATACCCAAATGTTGCACACACATATTTAAGTAAGTATATACATTAAGGTCGAAAGTAATTAATTTGGGTTTTTTCATTCATGTAACTATCACGTATATTATTGTTGAAATTAAATTTGATTGAATAAGGTTATTACAAATAAACGTAAACACGAGCATTGCGTTATGGAGAAATTAGATTTTAAAAATATGATGCAATAAATTTTATCTCAGCAGAATATGATATTCTGTTGAAATGTCAAGCATTCAGTGATGAGTCAACTCGAGGTCAAATTATACCTCAACTTGGCTATGTTTGGAACGATGACTCATATATAAAAAAAAACCCAAGTTGAATAATTTCTTGATACCAAATTTTAATGTATTAACAATCTCTTTTTAACACCAAAATGAATTCAAGTCCGTTCAAATCTGTATGCTCTTAAAATGCTATCACGACTGGGTCTTCAATACTCAATCTCTCACAATCTAGTCTAATCTAATGGCAACTACCTACAGTAGCTATTCCAGAATCTACTACAAACATG